TGCCTGAGGGCCACGCCGGCGCCTGTGCTTCACCGGCAGGTACTACGAGTACATGTTCGGGCAGTCCCGCCGGAGGCGGGGCCGCAGGCCGCTCGGCGCCCGAGCGGAGCCCGAGCTGTCGCAGCTGCAGGTGGTGATCGAGTCCCGGGACCCCGGCTGTCACAGCTACCCCCACCTCGCTTCCAACGAGGCCTGTGAGTACCGCGCACAGCCGGTCGCCGCGTTCCTCTCTCCTTCCACGGCTTATACAGCATCGTTACCGCTTGTTTTCCAATCGTGTGCGATGTAAAAGTCAGCTGGTTTTTTTTTTAAGGAACTGGAATCATAGGCTCACTGAGGCGCTGGAGAACATTTCGCAACAGTGGCAACCAGAAGATAATTCTTGCTCTTAACGCTGTGGGAAATCTCAGCCCAGAGTGAATCATGAAGCTGGTTAGAAGTGTAACCTATGATTTCTGCAGTTTAGCTAGCATTCAACTAATTTACCTGCTGCTATCCTTTCTAGTAACTATAATTAAGAATCAGAGGTATTATGCTGTGCTGTACCCAATTATGTGTGCTGAGATCTATGCGTAGTCAAGAGATCATCCTTTCTTTCAGTACAGGGTGTTGAGTGAAGGCTGGCTTTGCTTATTCACCTGCTGTCCTTAGAAATAACTACATTTGATTGAAGCTACCTACACTGGCTTATGTACATGATATTTCTGGTTTTCCTGGAAGACCAGAAGGTGTTCATTGAACTTCCTGTTATTCATCTTGCAGTATTATAAATCCACTTTCTTTCTATCAGTAGATACAAGAAAGGATTTAAAAACACGATGGTTATATTGGATTTGTTTTGCTATGCTTCTTTAGTTCTATGCCTGAAGTCTGAGTGGAGAAGTACTCTAAAATCAAGTCCTAATCACCAGAGAAGTTTCTTAACAGAAATAAGGATAGTATTGCTTTTTGTCTGGGCAGGTTAGCAAAGAATTCAACATATTCAATTCATCTAGTTCTGTCTTGAGATAATCTACTAGGCAAGGCAGTTGTTTGGTATCCAGGATACAGATCCTTAGAAAAAGATCCTTTTAATCTTAAGTCATATATCCGCAGCAGGATTAATTCCACCCGACTTGTGATAGAATGTACTGATTTTAAGTTTACTCAAACTTTTTGGTACATTTAGCCAAGTAGTGCAATTTTTGTGTGCAAGTTTATCATACGTTTCAATGCAAATGAGGTATAGCAGCAAAATTGCTAATGCTTTAGAAACTTTCTGCCACAGTCAGGTTATTATACTGCTTTGCTACTAGTTGAACTTTGAACTGGTTTGTGAACTTCAGATTTTAACCAAAGCTAGTTCTTCTCTTCTGTCAGGGAATTCTGTCAGATTGTGTGATTTTTAGGTTGCACTCTTCAGAACAGTCAGAGTTTTTCCCTCTGCTGTAGGAAAGGAGATTTCTGTTACAAATAACATGAAGTTTACCTCATGTAGTAAGCTGAGCTCTCCAGACTTCAGCAAGATTTTAATTTTGTACTTTTAATGGGATAGCTTGTTCAGGGAACAAATGCTGAAATACGCAGTTGTTAGTCATTTGCTGGATTGAGCAGTCTGGCTCCTTTTCTTAATACAGATGGTATGGATCAGTCAGTGACTATCCTACAGCAAGAGTATTGGATATGTAAAGTACAAGTTATCTACCCTTCTCCCTCATGGCTTCTTGCCCGCTTGTGTAAAAGGTTCCAAATAGCCATACAAAACTTGCTGTTCTGTGTTCATTTAAGGTATGATGTATGTTCAGAAAAAAGCCTGCTGTCTTGGAAGTAAATCCCTGACTGAACCACAATTTACCACAGAAAGACCCGTGGAGATTGCAGTAGTCTTCTGTTTCTTACCCAGAACTTCCAGTATATGCAATCTGTGTTTAGATTAAAATGGAACTTGAGGTACAGTATATGCAATCTGTGTTTAGATTAAAAAGGAAGCTTGAGGTCCTTTCTTCATGTCCCTGAATGGCTTTTCTCTGGTAGTTTAGACAAATGTTTGAACTGTATAACTTATAATCAACCGTTCTTTCATGCTGAGGCAGATCCAATAAATCATTATACAGCAATTTACCCCTCTGATTTTTTCTCTGCTGCTTCAAATGTGTGACTCTGGTTAGTTTATTACTGCTTTGATGTTTAAATAATAATATAAATATATAGATTTATAGATATAGTGTATTTTTATACATATATATGTGATTTTTAAAAAAATTAACATATTTAAAGGATACTTGTTTCTTCACTAAAACTTACTGAATCACCTTAAATGGAAAAACTAAATTATTTTAGCTTTTTTTTTTTTCAGTACTTTGTACTGTACTTCAGTACTCAAACTTAAGGGAGGATTGTTGTGGATACCTTCAGATACCATTCTTCATTTTACTTACCTCACTTCATCTCACTGCCCCCATACACGTGCTCATTAGATGGTGGGGTCTGATTTTTTTTTTTTTCTCCTTTGTAATTAGACCTTTATAGTAAGCACCTCACAATACTACTTCACAAGCTATATCCCTAAAAAAATAGGTAAGCATAATCTATATAAAAGGAAGGTAAAAGGAGAAGTAAACTTCTGCAGTTAGGTCTGGCTTAGTTACCCAACCCTTATCACCTATATCTTAAATGCAAAAATATCATCTGATATGTTTTAAATCAGTTGGGTTAAACTTGGCTGGAATTCTGGCCCATGTGCAATATTTAACATTGCCATTATTAAGCACCGTATTTGTTTTAGCATCTTACTGATCACCTGTAGACTCTCTGACTAGTAGCTTGCATTATTTCAGGAGCACATAAATGAAAAATAGCTGCACGGTATCACTGTTGAAAACAGCATTGGTTAGAATTTAAAAACCAAAGGCAGATGTACAGCATTGGTTAGAATTTAAAAACCAAAGTCAGCACTTGAAGAATCTTTTAAATGCCTGTTAGCATCGTCCTGTCAATCCATGCTTCCTTGAGGAATAACTTTTTTTTTTCTTTTCTTTAGATCATTTAACTGTAACTGAGCCTGTGGCTGTACTGAAAGCAAATGAGGTATGGGGTGCTTTAAGAGGTAAGCTGATACTTTTCCTATAGAGCTATTTGTTCTGGGCTTATACAAACTCCATGCCAGACTAAGAACCAGCTGACCACTGAGCCTTGCCCTCATTCAGTCCTTCATAGGAAGTAAGCTTGGGCATAGAGGCCAGAAGGATACCCAGATGTGTGTTGGTCAGACCCTCAGTCCGGATGCTCAGCATCTCAGATCCAGTGGCACACCATAAGTGCATTTTTGCTGTGCCTGAAATCAGCCAAGCCAACCAAATCCTGGGTGCTAAAAAGCTCTCTGATCTAAAGCGTGAACAGATTATTCTCTGACTACCTCTAATAACTGAATATGCTGGACACATCACCAAGAAGATCATAATGATGAAGTTTCAGTCTGCTGTTCTTACTGGAATGTTAGTCAAAATTAGCAGATTTTTCATGCTGAATTAGAAACTCACCAGTTCCAGAAATGACAGGAACAGATGCATCACAACACCAGAAATTCCTACCTTACTCTCAGTAACTCCCATACTATTCAGGGATTAATATGGTGCAGCTGAGCTGTAGTGCTAATATGCAGTACTTGTGTATAATGGAGAGCTTGAATGGTTCTCTCTTCAGAACTTCGTTAACTGTGGTGCTTGAGCAATTAAGGAAACTGCGCTAAAGAGAAAGAAACTCAGCTACAAAGCATTCTTTCTAGCTATGTGAACGCCTGTAAATAGTTTCGGTCCTGTTTTTAACTAAAAATTTAAGGACAAGTACTGACTGGGTTGTATTCCAGATCACTTTCTTGGATTTTTTTTTTTTTTTTCCCCCCAGGTTTGGAAACCTTCAGCCAGTTGGTTCATGAAAATGACTATGGAAGCGTAAGTATAGCTATTAACTAAAACCACAGTCCTGATAACAAGACAACCACGTTCTTCATTAGGTGCTCTTCTAGAAACAGCAGATCTACTAGTTTCATTAAGTATTTTTTCAGAAGATGATCGTGGAAAGCTGTTAACAAACTGAAAAGTAAGTATTTCCTGTTTGAAATGATGAATATAAAATGGGAATTCTAATTTTTAAATCTCCTTCTTATAGTTTCTTGTCAATGAATCTGAAATTGATGACTTCCCAAGATTTGCTCATAGAGGAATCTTACTAGACACTTCAAGGCATTATTTACCACTGAAATCTATTCTTACAAACCTGGTAAGTGGGCAGTTTTGTATCATTAATAACGAAGGCTTTTTGTTGTTGTGTTTTGCTCCCTGAAGTAGGTAGCAACTGGAGCTGGTATGAAAGGAGAACCCATCTCCTCCGGCTGACTTCTAGAAGAACAGAGTGAACTTTGCTAAGTGACGGTCAGAACATACACCGGAGAGGAATTGAGTGGGCAGATGCAATGATTAGTGAATCTGTAAAGGAGGCTGGAATTTGTGGTACCTTGGGTTTTCTGTATTTTCTGTTGCCTAAACCAGCTCAGGTATTTCTTGGAAGCATGTTCTGCGACATCTGACTGTCACCAAGCAGTACAGGGGAGACCTTGCAAGTCCTGGCTTCAGTGCCAGTGGTTGTAGGAAAGTTCCAGTCTTTTCAATAACCAGGCTTTAGTAGTCCTTTCTTAGGCTGCTAAGAGCAAGCCAGTAATTAAGTAGTACAGAGCAACGGGGGAAATTGTAAATGTTCATTGGAAGCTACTGATTTTTTTCGCCGCATCTCTTCAAAAAGAAGAACCACATAAACAAACCAAACAACTTTCTCCAAAAAGCTTAAGTAAGCACACTAGGAATTGTATACTCCCACCTTGATGGGAAAGTGGTGAATTTGTGTAATCATAGCAGCCAAAGCTGTGGGTTTTTCTGTTTCGTACTCCCCTTTTCTGCTGTTGAGATCCTTGTAGCAGGGCTTATTTGGTGGGTTTAAATGGAGAAGCCTTTGAGTGCAGGAGCATGCAGTTTCCTGTCTTGTCTCTGTCTTGCTTTTCCAAGATGAAATAGTGTTAGAAATTTCCCTTCCATGTTGCAGAACTTTGCAGAGCAGGCTTAAGATGGGCAGGAAGACTGTGCAGGTAAAACCAGTCTTCATTTCTGAGGTCATCCTTGAACTGTGCTCAGAACTTGCCCCTCCATGGGTATTTACCACTTGTATTTACCTTTTAAGATCAGTCCCTGTTCAGCAAGTAGTGTTTGTGTGGTGTTTCATTTACAACTGAGGGTGCTTCAAAGTCTCAAGTAGTTACTTATGTCAATATTTGTTGTCTTTTCTAAGAGACAACAATGTCCAAAGACTAACTTGACTCCTGAGACTTGCATTTCTAATCATTTTTGTGTTTCTGTAACTGTTGCTATTCTGTTTTCTTTCCTTAAATTATGTCTGTGGCTCTAATACTTTCCCAGAGCTACATTTTAGGACATTTTGCTGGTTTAAGAACAAGCGTGCTTTTCTTCCCACCTCTCTGCCTTCTTGAATCCAGGCTAACCTAATAAAAAGCAGCAGTAATCCCTTCACTGACATGTGGTAATTAGATGCTTAAGGCAGCAGGTCAAGTACATTTCTTGTCTGTGTTCAACTGCTGTACTGTATTTCCAGGAAGGGCATTGTCCTTGAGGAAGGAGTGGCTGAGGTGAATGTCAGGAGATAGAAAATTCTATGTGGAAAGATGGTATTTGATAGAAATGCATGAAGACATGCAGTAATTAAAACTTTGCTGCCTAATAAAGCACATGAGATAACTTGGGGGAATGGACAAGGTATAAATCTTCCTTTGGATTTGGTGGGACTTCCTGAAGAGATTTTGGCACTTCTTTAAACACACCACTAAAGCTTGATGAAAAAAGAAAGGGGGAGGGGTGGAAATAATTGTATTGTGGCAAGGGATTGGAAGCAATTTTGTTGCAATTACTCAGTCCCAAACAATGTAGAGAACACTTACTCTGTCTGCTCACAGCACACAACACTTCTAGTGACTAAAAAACTTGCATAACTCGGGGTATGTGCGTAACTGTCCATCTGGAGTCATAATTCTAAAATAAGTGTGTTAACACTTATCTTGATCTTCAAATTCAAAAAAGGGAAGTACTGACACTGTAATGACTGAAAACATAAGGGGAACACTATCTTCTGCGGGGAAGATGCATGGTTTATTTCACATGCATTTGAAATGGATTCTGCAGAAGTCACTAGCAAGGGATATACTAAATAGTAGGAAACTCACTCATGCTGTTCAGTTTTTGAGTCCAAAGTATTTAGGTGGCAAAGTATAAGCTTCTCTGTAAGCTGAAATAGCTGATGGTGCATAGAGAATTACCCAGATATGTTCTGAAGTGGAAGAAATTCATAACCATTTATAGCAGTTCCCCTTCTACCAGCCAGTGTAGCATGATCAGATCAAGAGCTTGTCGATAGGAGTGGTGCAAATAGATGGCAGAGGAACGGAGCTATAGTATAAACAGGCTGGTGCGTTTTGGTGTATGCTTCTAGGATTTGGTAAAACATGGTATGCTTTTTCTTTGGTGTTTTGTTTTTTGGGTGGGTTTTTTTTTTAAGTTGTTGCTTTAAGCATGCAGGATGTACTGGGACAAGACCACCTCTTTTGCATAGGTTTTCTGTGAGAGTGAAGTGCTTAACTAAAGTGTATTGCATTATTTGTTACAGGATGCCATGGCTTTTAACAAGTTCAATGTTCTCCACTGGCATATAGTAGATGATCAGTCATTCCCTTACCAGAGTATTTATTTCCCTGAGTTAAGTGACAAGGTGAGTAAACATCATTGGAGCAGGGTGGGAGGGCAGAAATCTGGCACATTCTTCGTCAAAATAAAATGCAGAGCTACCAATGGTTGAATATCTCTGCCTTGGCTGATTGTGAAACAGTACCAGAGGACCAGTAACCAGCAAGTCCATATTTAGAATCCTACCTGAGTGTCTGTGTAGACCATGTTCAAGTCTTCCTTGGTGGATGCATGGTAAATGATCTTCCTAACTCTTCTGTGCAAATTTGCTGGTGACAGTGATCCTCAGCGTTTGCAGGCCTTCGAGCAGTAATGGTGTGCAAATAACCTGTTGTGGTGAACACTGCTTGGATTTCTGTTGGTTTGTTTGTTTTAACTGGTAGACTTTCTGCCACTAAAACAAACGTAAGAGTTTCCTGTCAGCTCTAGGTTTGGAACCACTGCAGTAGTACTTTTGCCCTTTCTGAGATCTAGTTAACTTTACAAAACACAACATGTCTATAAGAGTTCCACATGTGAGAGGTTGTTTTCTAAAACAAATACAGTGCAATGTATCTCTTTATTTCCTGATTCACAGCAGATTTTGCTAATTAATGAAAGTCATCAGGAGGTTCTTGCTCAGTCACGGTACAGTAGTAGCCAAATCAAGCATGAATAATTAAGTAGACTGAGCCTAAGCATAAGATTTGTGATTCTGTTTTAAAATGTGTTGTGGTTTAACCCAGCAGGCAGCTGAACACCACATAACCGTTTGCTAACTCCCCCCCACCCCCACAGTGGGATGGGGGAGAGAATTGGGAAAAGAGACTAAAATTTGTGGGTTGAGATAAAGACAGTTTAATAGGACAGAAAAGGAAGGGAAAATAATAATGATAAAAGAATATACAAAACAAGCGCCCCCCGGCCAACTCCCCCCAGTTTATATACCGAGCACGATGTCACGTGGTATGGAACAGCCCTTTGGCCAGTTGGGGTCAGCTGTCCTGGCTGTGCCCCCTCCCAGCTTCTCGCTGGCAGGGCATGAGAAGCTGAAGAGTCCTTGACTAGTGTAAGCACTACTTAGCAACAACTAAAACATCAGTGTGTTATCAACATTGTTCTTGTACTAAATCCAAACCACAGCACTATACCAGCTACTGGGAAGAAAATTAACTCTATCATCACAGCTGAAACCAGGACAAAATGCTTGCTAGAATCTGACCCTCATTAAAATTATGTCATAGGCAGTGCTTGAGTAGATACCGTGAAGAATTTTATAATTCAAAAATTGCAGATGTTGGATGGTGCAGTCAGATTGTTTTTCCTAGTAATGGCTGTGGAGTTCTGTCCTATTCCCCACTGACAGCTGGAGAGAGGGAGATGGCCTTTGCCTCAATAGCTGCCTTTTTGAAAGGCTTCTTGTTTACCATTGTCTCTTCTGAGTAACTCAGCTGTGGAAACCATTTCCAGACAAATAGAAGCTTAAGGTGCTATTAATCATGAGGAGTCATGATGCTTTTCTTACGTAGTTTGGCTCTTTGGCAACCATCTGTTTCACCAAACTGTAGCAGTCTGGGTCATTTGTCACATTTGTTGGCTGTGTGGGAGTGGAATAACGCTCAAATTCAGCATCACAAAACAAACATGCCCTGATGCTAAATTGGGCACTGTATCAAAACTGACAAGAAGAGGTGTTGGAAGAAGATGCCATTCTTTCTGACTTGGCAGAATTTTTCCATTAGTCTTGCATGTCATGTAACAAAGTCCCTGTGTTTCAGAACTAATGATGCAGAGGTGGAGGGGAAAACTAACTTGCCTCTGTACAGAAGAATTGAAAAATGTATCTTTCAAAACCTGACGGAATAGAAACTAGCTTTTCTGTTTTCTTCAGTAACTGTGAGCTAAGGAGGAAAGGTCGGTCTCCTCAGGAGATTTGTCTTGTTGTGGCAAAAGGGGTTAATTTTTGTGGGGTTGCTTTGGGTTCCCCCACCCAGTCCCCACTAGTCAGCCGAAAAGTTCTGTCAGTACAGTTGCACATGTGATAAACCAGGAAAGGCCAACTTATAAAACTGCTCTCCATTCTAAATTATAACACTTTAACCCAAATTTTGTGAGGTGCTGGTAGAACATTTTGTAAACTGTCTCTAAATGTGAATACTTTACAGGGAGCATACTCCTATAACCACATCTATACTCCTACTGACGTCCGTCTGGTGATTGAGTATGCGCGGTTAAGAGGCATCAGAGTTATCCCAGAGTTTGATACCCCAGGACACACGCAGTCTTGGGGAAAAGGTACGTCCAAGAAAGTATTAATGGTTAAAAGATTGTGGTAAGTAGGGTGTAGCAAGCAAATGAACTTGTTAAAAAGCAGCCTGTAAAGTGCTTTGAAAGGCCCTTGATAAGAAGTAAGCAAGGGGCAGACTCAGCGATGGTCATGATCTTTACATTTTAGAGGAACTAAAGTGAACGGAGAAGGCTGACACTGCCTGTGCTGGATGTGTGTGCGAAGGCACAGGTATATTCTGTCTGCCTTAGACTTCATGTTGTTGTTATCCCCCCATCCAGTAGTCTTGAGTTTAGAGTAACAAGGCAGTGGCTAGAAATAGTGAGTTGCTGTCTCTAGAGTAGAGATTTTTGTTTTGGGAAGGTTATTTCAAAGTGGTTGATGTTTCTGTCTATTAGTAAAATGGTAATCTGCCAGCGTACAAAACACAGCAAAATTGGATGCTTCTTCACTCTCTATCTTCTGGGTTTCAAAGCAATACTTCTCTTAATAGAGAATGCTTGAACCCTGACAGTGGTGGTGTTTACGTGTACTCAGGGGCCAGGGAACCTTATGCCTTAATTCAAGGTGCACTGGCTGCGATTTCACTGTAATTAACATAAGACAATTTTGGCCAAACTGGAAACAGTAAAGATTTTTCTAGCGTGACAGTGGTGGTGTTTACGTGTACTCAGGGGCCAGGGAACCTTATGCCTTAATTCAAGGTGCACTGGCTGCGATTTCACTGTAATTAACATAAGACAATTTTGGCCAAACTGGAAACAGTAAACTAGCGCTTCATAGCTTTAGCCATGGGGCAAGTCTTGTGCTCATCCTGTGGGGATGTGGCCATAATGTTGGAAGATGCCTCAGGCTCTTTCTCACTAATTTATAATGAGGAGGAAAAGAACAAAGCAAAAACTAAATTTGCTAAACAGTCTTTCTGAATCCTTCATCTCACGTGGTCTTTGCTGTTATGGAGCACTAATAAAAGCCAGTGACTCGCCTGGTGATACGTGAGGTGGTCTACATTCATATTAAGAGCAAGGTTCAGCTCCCTTGCCTAAAATCAATTGTTCCTGATAGCTTCTTGTATAATAGCTTTTTTTAATGTGATGCACAGGAGCCAGTCCTGGCTTTGCCTATGAACCTGGGTAGCTATGCTTTGTTTGCATTCAAATTCAAGATATTGGAGAGAAGTCTTAAGGCATGCAAGGAGGGTAGTGGAATCAATCTACCACTAGGGCCCTGTTTGGGGGAAATGTGCTCAGAGTAGGAAACACAGCGCCAGGGAGGTGCTGCTGCTGCAACCATAGTTTACCAAATAAACTGGACTTAGGAATCTCCAACCTACATATAGTAACTTTTTCCTATTTTGTTATCCTGGCTCATGTTGCTTCGGATATCTTGACTCAAGAACCAGTGCTTAGTTTTGATGTCTGTCTAGCCTTCCTTTCTCGTGTAGAGGTAAATTCCTAGCAGACTAAGGTAGGACATCTACCTTGATCCATGTGCCTCCCACCTACTTAGATGTTAACAAAGCAGAGTAATGAAAAGAGAAAAGAGGCCTCTGGAGCACACTCATTATATTTGGCTTCCTTCTAATTGGCTTCCTTCCTAAATCCGTTAAAGCTTTTTTATTCAAGTAGTCATCTAGAAGCTGTTTTCCAGGTATAGTGACATGTTCCATAAATTAGTGTGTGTTTAAATCACAAATCTAAAAGTCAGAGTCCTGATTTCCAGTTAGAGGGTTCTTCAACGTTGGGCAAGTTGTTTTATTTCATCCTGCCTCTATTTGATCATACTCAGAATAGATAAGCACTTAAGTCATGAATATTAACCTTTTTGATATGGGTAACTGCCTCTTCCTGCTAGCAAAGTTAGCATACAGACATGGAACTGAATATCCTCTATTAATTGTTTCTATTAGGTCAAAAAGGTCTTCTCACCCCTTGTTACAGTGGAGAACAGCCAACTGGGTCCTTTGGACCTGTAAATCCCATTTTGAATACAACTTATAACTTCATGACTAAATTCTTCAAAGAGATCAGCAGTGTATTTCCAGATGCGTACATTCATTTGGGAGGAGATGAAGTGAACTTCGATTGTTGGTACGGTGACACTTCAAAGAATAAATATCTAGTGCCTCTTAAACTTGCTTAAATCCATCAATTATGGAACTCAGTTGTGTGAGACAGTTTCCACTGCTTAATCCAAAGATCTCCACTCTTACTTCTGTTAACTATTTACAGGCAGAGCATTTGTGATCCTCAACAAGCAAGTGATGTTGTGCAGATTTTGCTTTGACTAGTAGTTTCACAAATGTTCAGGTACTCTAAAGGATTTCTTTATGAAAATTAACCTGGCAGGAAGGAGAACTGGTATGGTAGAAAAGTACTATATAAGATAATTAACACTTAAATGCTTTGTGTTAAAGGAAGAGCAGTTCTTTCCATGGAGTTCTGCCTTCCAGAAAATCTGCTAACATTAAGTATTACAGTACTGACTCTTGTGTGCTTGTATTAAAAGTATGGCGCGTGTTAATAAAGTTTTTCAATTGATTGTGGATTTTTAATATTTTGGAGTCTCTCTGCTGGGGTAACTAGTAATACAGAATTTGGAGCAGATCTAGTTGGATGAGTATTCAAATTGATCTAGTTAGTATTTGTGTGTGCTCTTGAAATGTCAAATCTGAACACTCAGGACTTGCTTTAATTTTTAAAAAGAAAGACATTTTCTGACAAACGCTTTATCTCAAAAGTGTTGTTTGCTTTTGGGGTATTTCCCAAATTCTTGATGTCACTCATGCAGAACCCCTGGTACTATGGCTGCTCAGTTTCTAGACCTTCCCACAAAGTCGCAGAGAAGCCAGGAACCCCAGAACTCTTAGGAGCTCAAGGCAGCCTGCCAGAGACTGCTTCAGAACAGGGACTTGAGTAGTTCTACCAGAGAAGTAGGACTATTGGCTTTATTTCAAATTGGGATTAAACCGTTTCAAAATACCTAAATCATGTTAGCCTGCTGCTTCTGCTCTGTTGTGCATTCTAGGCTACGGTGTGCCCAAGGCATCAGCTAGTGTGCTGTGCATAGGTGGAAATGGTTGGGAAATCTGGTTTAAAACAAAATTACTTTTTTTTTTTTTTTACTTGTTTTGTTGTTATTATTTAAGGAAATCTAACCCTGCAGTGAAAGAATTCATGAAGAAGCAAGGATTTGGCATTGACTATGCTAAACTGGAATCTTACTATATTCAGAAGTATGTTGGTTTTTTTTTTTTAATTCTTGCTCAGCTTTTCACAGCCACTATCTGAGGGTGGTGTTGAGGTGCAGATACTGAAGCTGATTTAGGTTAGCCTATATTGTTTGCAAAAATTGCCATGTACTGGGGACTACCCAGTTTTTTATTTTAATACACTGACTGTAAAGTTCACAGCTTTAAAATGTGGGACACAACAAGGGCATGTAGGCTAGTTCTGCGCACACTCTGAATGTATTGGGTATCTTAAATGAGGTGTCTGCTGTAATGTCAGCACATGGGGTGGGGAGGAAAAGTCCTAAGGTTTCTGCAGTCATTTATTTGTCTCATTCTTAAATAACATGTATTTAGAGCCCTGTATGAGTTGCTGGTAGTTCCGAACATCAGTTTGTGTTACTGCACATGCATATCCTTGTACATGGGAGAGCATCCTCTTTGAGGCAGAGCGCTGAAGGCCAAAACCAGAAAAAAATGTTTTTTTCTTGGTTCCCTATGCAGTGCTGGGAAAGGCCTGATGTGCCTTAGGGTAGAAAACATCGCTAATTTGTGTGCTTGTACTGACCTCATTGAAGTTCACAAACATCTTATTTCTAAATTCTAGGATTTTGAACATTGTTTCCTCCTATGACAAAGGATACATGGTCTGGCAAGAAGTGTTTGATAACAAAGTGCAGGTAAGATGGGAAAGTAAGAAAGATACTCTTGCATAACAGCACAATATTGTGGGGGGCTTCCAAAGTAGACTATTAAGTAGTTATGGTTGTGTCTCTTAAGAGTTAAAGCAAGTCTGCTGACTTTAGCAAGTCTCCCCAGGTGTGGGGCCTGCCTTGAAATTATCATTTATTGAACATGTAAAATAGGTGGAATAGGAACACCAGCATTGAAGTGCATTCTAAGGGTGCACAGATCATATAATATGCTCTAGAGCATCAGAGTAAAGGGAAGTTTCTATGTGTTTCCATATATTTTTTTTTTCCTTGCATAACTGTGCGTAACTGGTCTGGTAACACCAGGTGCTCAGCTTTTCAGAGCTGGTCAGGTAACTGGTGAATGTAGGAACCCTCTTAGGGCATGAACTGTCTATAGTATAACCTAGGCTTCACTCTAGTGTGAACTGTTTAAAACCAGCAAAGAGCTAATCGGCTTTAGATGCGGGGGGGCCGGGCAGAATTACAAAAGGTAGCTTCCAGAATGATGTTCTTCTTCAGAACAAAATACCCAGTTTTGAAATCCATCATCCTTTTTCCTAGGATTGTCTTTAATGTTTTGGGGTGGGTTTTTTGTTTTGTTTTTCCCCCTTTTAGCTTAAACCAGAGACTGTAGTTCAAGTGTGGATGGAAAACAACTATGCTCATGAACTGAGCAGTGTCACTGGAGCTGGATTCACTGCTTCCTGGCAGCAAAATAGGATGATGTAAAATTTCCTGTGATGAGCAACAATCTGGGCTGCATTCCTGCTGAAGTGCAGAAGACCTTCTTTCTACATGTTTTAGATGTAAGCTTCTTTCTCTAGATGTGTATATGAATGCTAAATTTGAGCCATTTGCATTTACTTATTTTAAGAGGGCAAAGACTATAGGGTTAGACAAGAATGTCAAATTATTAGTTATATAATTTTTTTTTGCTTTAATATTTATGTAAAGCATTCATGGACCCAATCTGGCTCTTGGTGAAGTTGTTGGGAAGTTGTGCTAGTAACAGAGATTATCTCATTTGTTTTAATGCTTGGGAGAGAAAGGTCACCATGAATATGCAATCTGCACACAGTGCAGTCAGAACATATACGCATATGTCAAAGAAACCAAGCTATTGAAGTCAACAAATATGACAGTGTTTTGACAGGGGATTCAGCAGAATAAAAGATGATCTTGTAAAAAGATCACACATTAAGGAATCTAGCTTTTTGCCTCCACAGCCCAAAAAATTGTAAAAAAAAAAAGGAGGGACCACTTTAAGATTACTTCTTCTATTTCTGTCCCCACTGCCTTCTCTCCTCACTCTCCCCACCCCCATTTACTGAGGAATAGCCAAAAAAAAGAAAAAAAAATTAACCTGATAGACTGAAACTGAAGTTTCACACTGGAGTGAATTTGTTACTGGGTTCACTGATGGGTTCACTGCTATCCTGGCAGCTCCCTGGTACTTAGACTACATTAGTTATGGGCAAGACTGGAAGAAATACTACAGCGTTGAACCGCTTAACTTCCCTGGTTTGTTACTTTTTTTTATATGCATGTTCTGTGCATGAAGTCTTTGGTTCATAGTAAGGTGTAAATGGAAAGAATAAGGCTCTTTAGAGTGGTCATGCAGTCACTATGATCAGATACGCTGTAATCAAAGGACTTTAATGTCAGCTAGGGATCTGGAAAACTCAAATAAAAAAAAAAAGCAACTTTCCACTTCTTACGGGGAAAAGTGTTACCTTCCTCAAGCATCTGGCACTGGGGCTTGTGTGAGAAAGGATGCTGGACTAGGTGGGCAGATGCATCATGAACTAGGGGCAGAGTTGTGCAAAATGCCTGTTGGTAGACATTGAATTTGTATGTTTGCAAGCTTCTGGAGCGTTAGACTCTTCTAGAAAAAGACGTTCTCTCCCTCTGGCTAAAGCTGATACAAACATCTTATATTTTCCCTGGGGCTTTCACTTTGTGCAAGGTAGCTCTCAGAGCTGATTAGGGAGAACACCTGACTTCATAGCTTTTTCAAGTAATGTTCTGTGTATGATAAAATAAACAGTTTCAATCAGGACTGAAATCTCTGAAAAATGTCAGAAGGCTTGAGGAATGTCTTCAGAGGATAAAAGATAAAATCCTTTCTGACAGAGAAGGGAAATGGGTTCTCTGGGCAAATGGCTTGGTGGTTCTCGCATTCAGTAACAAGACTACCAAGTTAGTGCTCAGGATAGATATTTTATATGATAAACAGCTGAACATCAATCCTGTCTCAATGTTGGAAAATGAAATTGTTGATATATGCCCATCTTCTGGGCAAATAGAAATTCTAACTTTCTGCTTTGAATTCAGGATCTGAAAAACAGAAAAAGCTTTTAATAGGTGGAGAAGCCTGCCTGTGGGGGGAATTTGTGGACGCAACTAACCTCACACCAAGATTATGGTATGAACGGCTTTATTGTTAGATTTTAGAAAGCCAGCTACAAGGTGCATTAATTAATCCAACAGGACTGTATATTAGTGGTAACAGTGCTCTGTGCTGAACCTGAACAGCTATAAAAATTGATGCTTCTGCATATATAAGACCTGGTGTTAAAAACTTTAACCCATTCTTGGTTATAGACCATACCTACTCTAAAACAGTGTATCTTTATAGGCCTCGAGCAAGTGCTGTAGGGGAAAGACTCTGGAGCAGCAGGAATGTGACCAGCTTGCAGGATGCCTATAAAAGACTGACCAATCATCGGTGCCGCATGCTCCGGTACGATTAACAGCTACAGTAAAGCTTGGTTCTCATGCCTTATAACCAATGGATTTCAAGTACAGGCCTAAACTGCTGGCCCGGAAATGAAGGGAGGGGAGCTAGCAGTCTAATCTGACTATGTAAATGTCATCCCCAGTGTTTCTGTATCCACAGAAGAGGAACAACAGATACACTAAGACAGGAGTTCTAGACAGTTTTGCAACTAACATTTTCAGAACTCATTAAGTTTCTTCAGTGAAAGACTAGAACTCATCTATGTCTCTTTCCTCTAAAGGAAAAACAGACACTGTGACTGACTTGTTTCAGACAAAAAGGATATTAAAGGGTATGTGGGAGGAGTACACAGAGAGGAGAAAAAGTAGACTTTTAAAAAAAGTTGTTAATTATTTATTATAAATAATAATTAAAGACCTGCAGCAGGCAATCAAATGGAGCTGTTTGCATGAGAGGTGAGCTTGAGCAAGCTATTCTTTCAGGTATTGCCTTAGTGTAGGGACTGAAAGGGGTGGATAAGGAGTCCCTGAAATTTTAATTCATTTATGACTACTGTAAACAAAGTCAGTTCATAACATATTCTTCTTTGCAGTTCTTTCCTAAAAAGAACCTAGACAAATTACTGGTTAATTATTGCGAGTGCTGTCTTTGTATATTTGCAGTTGTAGAAATGAGTGATTTCTAGGTCTTAAGTCCAAGTTTGACTCCACTTTTAAAAGTATACAGTCAGAGAGCCTTTTAGCTTTTCCCAAATGCTGCTACTAAGTTGGACTGCAGCAAGAATGCAACATGCCATTTAATTTCTCAAAGTTTATGACACGTCATTGAAAATCCCAACAGCGTGAAGAAGTATTTCAAATACAGTAGATGATACAAATCAGCTTTTTAGAGAACAAGATACAATGGCACTTACAGTCAGCACTTAAGGACTCTGTACATGTCTTAGCTTGATTATCTGTTGGAATCGCTGACTTTTAGCTTACACTATAAACTAGCTCTTTAATCAAGTTAAGAGTGACTGAAAGACTCATAACTTTTCACTTGGGTTTATTTCAAGCTGGCTTAAAATAATACTATAGGAGAATAGCTATATGTAAATTGTGTTATCTCCCTCAGTCATGAGAAAAATAGATACATTAAGAGAGAGTTAACAAATACATGTTAAAAACAAGATTAAAGGGCTTTAAAAATGTGTGTCCTGTCACTTTACAGGACTGTGCATCTCTTGATGGGGTTCAGAGAAGACACTGATAGAACTGAACAGTGAAGTATACAGTGCCTGTACCTCTAGGATTAGGATTTTACTGTGAACTAAGCCATGCTATTCCTGGACCTGGTTAACTATTGCTGCATCTCCATCTTCTTCCTTAATGCTGGCACTTGTATTGCTATACAGGGAGCTGATCCAGATGACTGCAGCTGCTCTGGCAGTGCTAGCATGAGAGATGCAGAATGCAGGGGCAGACTAAGGACTACTCCCTGTACTTGTTGCACACTTTTTCCTTAAACTACTTTCTGGTGCTAACACTGCTTTGCTGGCATATAAACTTACAGTGAACAATTCCTGTTATAAGCAGACTACCTTAATAAAAGGACATGTCCTCCTGAAAAGGGTTCCTTTTATATAGACTTTGAACCAAAAACCCACTAGAGAAACCACTTCCTTTCCACTGATGAAATGAGCATTCCTTGGAGCTGCAGTTCTGTTGCCTTTCACGTATACAGGGCTTCCTTAGCAGTGTGCAAAGTCATAGAGCTGATGTAATCAGTCAGGCTGTTGTAAAGTCTTAGAGCGTGGGCAAAGGACTCTGTCCCTACTAACATTTTATACATGGTATATACAGACCACGGCAGTTGTAGCAGGCCAAGGAGCATTTCTAAGTAGAACGAACAGCTCCGTCTTGCTCAGCAGCCGAGTACCAGGGAGTGAGGGGATGGGTAGGTAGAACTTTAACAGCTAGATCACAGTCACTGGAAGGACAGTAGCTCTGCCTCTCTAAGGCCAAGGCCACTGCTGCTGAAACAGTACCATGAAAGCAGTAGCTGCTGTTCAGATCTAAACTCAGCTTCCTGTAACATACAGCAGCCCAAATTGCAGCGAAATGATGATGGGAGAGGGGAAACAAAAAGGTGGCCATATATTCCAGAGACCTAGACAACAACCCTGTCTTTTTCTAAGAGTAGGTCTGGCTTGAGAGGCAAGCAATAGTTCAGCTGACCTATTTCATTTTTCAGTTTCTTCCATTGCAGCTCTTAAGTGCAATTTAAACACCAGTGTATATTATCATACAAATCATTGTAGCAGTACAATCTAGCTCTTAGATATCCAAGAAGCAGAATTTTGACTACAACTACTTCAGCTCTGAAACATCTTTTTATACTATCTTACTGCACCATCATAAGCTACAGGGGGCTTTTTGTTTGTTTTTAAAGCCACATGAGAACAGAATAATTTATGATACTGTAGCTGGAAGAAATCCTGTTTACTAAAACTGGCTCCCCAAAAAAATGAATGAAAATGACACAGTTAAAGCTGCATATGAAGGAAACATTGGGGTTGGGAGCCAGGGGAGTGTGCAAATGTCAACTGATTCATATTTTCACATTCTTATGACTTCTCTTCAATAAAAGCAATAGATTTTGCAGAGCACTGAGACAACTAGCCCCTGAATTTAAGCTTTTCAACCTGTTTTCCAATACCCTAGTACATCTGATTGTACTTCAGTTAAGTACAGTTCTCTGTGTCAATCAACGGTAGAATAGGGCCCTTTTTCACTTCCTAAATAGGCCATCTGTTATTTCTTGGAGGTAGTTTTGTTTACACAAAGATTAAAATAGAGTGCCAGTATCTCTCTTCCTGTCCACACAACCAGCCAGTTGTTTGATTCTAATCATACACATTCCACTTTATTTTAACAGCCGTGGCATAGCAGCCGAACCTGTGTTTGTTGGATACTGCACCCATGAAGCAAGAGAGCAGTAACTGCTACAAAGACTTCTAGTCAACAACCTGAAGTGCCTCAGGGGTATGAGTATATGTACATGCAGTTTGATATTTGAACCAAGACTTACATTTTTCACTTTTAAAATAAAGTTATTTGACATTCTTGTTGGAGTAAAAATGATGGTTTTTAACTTTCATTAGGAATCTGGGTTCTTCCCTGTGAAATCCCGAAACTTGATACCATAGAGTTACCAATTCCAGTTCCCTTGCATTCTAAAGTTGAGGGAAAATAAAGCTAAGATACTATTTAAATAAAAAGCAAACTATCTTTTTATTTCAAAGTATCTTATTATTTGCCACTCTTCTATGTAACCAGATAATTGCAAATCAGAACTGACTTGTAACACATAGCAAATCAGAACCATTACAGCCTAAATCACTCATTCCTAAAGGTAAAAAAAAAATCCTCCCTCAACATACTCCATTGTGGTAGGTAGGAGTCACGGTCCTGGGATAACTCTGCCTTTCCTGTATTTTTTGCACAGATCTTACTCAATTTGCAGAAGCATCCATTCCACTTACTTGCTAAAGCAAACTCAGGTAGAAGTTACACTTAGTCCTGAACTCTGGTTCAAACTGGTTTCTAACAATATAGGAAGTAATACTTACAGTTGTACAGTTTTAAATGCTTATTAACCATATTCTTTTATTCAGCTGAAAACAAATCAAGCTACAGACTGCCAAAACTGTAAAGTTATTTCATTTATAGATGTAAGCTTCACAGACTTTACTTACTAAAGTAAGAAACAGTCCTAATGGCACATTAAGGTGCACTTAGTGCTCATTTCTACAAAGAGGATTTGCATCACTTCTCATTGCAGATAGCTGTAAGATTAAGAATCTGCAAAGCAGCAAATTGTAGTTGCATCTCTGGTTCAGCTGCTTTGCAATTACAAGGCTGTGCCAGAAGAATGCAGCCTCTTAAACCTTCCCTTGGACAGTTAAAAGCACAGTCTGCTCATACACCTGCTAATTCATCACTTTCCACAACCATTTGGTCCCAGAAGAACATACCGGTCTACATAAATAGGCTCCTGAGAATATTTAACAGGGAGGATAGAAAATCTCTTTATTGTTCTACGGAGTAAAGCGATCACACCAACCCCATCCTCCTCTGAAGAAGTGCACTTTGCTCTTGACTGTTCAGGGCTTGGTAACTGGCAAGCTCCAGAGTGAAGGTTGCTGAGCCTGATGTTAGAGAACGCAAAACTGTTGAGTAGCCCTGGACAAAATGGAGAACACGTCACTCAATTTAGGATAAAGGGAAGATAAGTTAGCACAGAAAGCTGCTTAGGTGAGAGAGAGAGAGAGAGAGTCAGAAGTATGCTGCAACATACCAGCAAGTTAATTTTTTAATATTACTGTATTAAAAGTGCAATACATGCATGAGTCAACCTAATAATACACTGTCAGAAAAACCATTCTCTGTAAAACCTGTTTTAGTAGTATTTACTACTACTCTGACTTACAGTTGAAAACATGCTGGTTTAACAAGTCTGAATCAGGCACAAAAACACTACTAGATTTGTGGGCACTTGCTTCAGACCATCAATAATTAAAATACAATAAAAGACATCCATTCCAAACTTATTCATCCATAACAACAGGAAAAGTGAACAGAAGCCTAATTATTTTTAAGCATATAAAAAAAGATCAAATTTGCATTTTACCATTA